GCAAGCGAGGCACGTGCAGCCACAGACGCTCCAGAAAGAGGAAGGCTTCGGTAGCTTTTGCCCGTACTTTTAAGAAGTAAATGCATTATGTTTTCTTTTAAAATCCCTTACAATATCTTCTTAACGTCAACATGTTCTTTAACGATCAATGCAAATCTAATTGACGAAATAAAAGTGGTCCCCTGACAATAAAAACACACTTTAGGAAAGAAGCGATTGTGATATTGTTCGAGACCACATTCCATGCGGAATCTATCAACGTATTTCATTGATCCATAAGTGTAGTGCGATGTAAACCTACAAGAAGAATTGACATGTTGAAGTTTTTCACATCCATTCTTTTTTGTCTTCCCCCTTTACGAAAACGTTTCATCGTCCTAAAAAAAGAGGACTATGCCATTCCACATATCAATAGAAAAGTACCTGTCTACGTGATTTTGGTTTAAAATGCAGTACAACTAATGTAGTATGTCAGTAGCCACTTTATAGTACAACTTTTTAAGTGTTCCCCTGAAGTTAATTAAAAGGTACATCAATCCCGACCTGTTCTACGTGTCGCCCGGTACGCGATAAAAAGTATGTACAATTGTTTGTTTAGATTAATAAAGACACTAGTGTAAAAAACCATTTTTATTGTTTAAAAGAAGTGACATTAGCACAACTTGTACATATCACCCGTAATGAAATTTCTAGTCAAACGACAACGCATCCTGAACCCGACGCGGTCTGCCGACGGGGGCTTCGTTACCATTCGTTTCTAGGTCTAGCTCAAATCGTCATCCGCGTCGCCCTCGACTGCTTCCACGTCCTCGACCACTACCTCGCCCTCGTACCCGTCTGTTAGCGTCGCTTCTCCGATCCTTTCCACCCAGGAATCGTTACGTTTGTGATCTCAAAGCTGCCAGCACATGAACGCAACACGCGTACTTGAAATACGCACTGCAGTTACAACTTCTCTTACCGGTGTCGACAACCCAGTCATTACAGGGCTGACGGAAATGCTCCATACGGCGCTCGTTGACATCTCCTTTTTGATTTGCGTCTGCAGCATCGGTAGCACTGTAGATACTTTTTACCACAACTTTATCATCTGACGCTGTGCTATCTGCGAGCAAGAGGTTAAGATTGCAATTTGGGTTGGAAACCAAAAGCAAGGATGCGTTGAATAATTTCTTGGCCCTCGACACCATTCCCGAACTAGGCATTGCAGTAGTAGTAAAATCACGACCTGTCACTGATTGATGCCGACAAAGCTTCGAGATTTTGAGTTATATCAGCTATTTTCAGGCGAACATGTAAGCTGTAGTCCCGTTTAATCATTTTGTTGAAAGCCTCTGCTGGGTTGTTCGTCTTGGCAAACCCACACGGGGAACGGAAACGCTGCCACTTATTAAACTTGGAACTTAACCACTGCTTTTCAAAGTAAGATATGAAATCCGCCAGATCAGAACGTGCATTCCATCTCACCAAGGCAGACGTCTTTGTTGACTCATATTCATCCGCATTCCGAGAGTAGTGAAGGTCATATATATATCGAAATATTATCTGTATGGATTGTTCAGAAATTCCACTCAGACGCTGCTTTACATTGGAAACCACGTGGAAAAAGCACATGAGGTAGTCACTGTCGGTCGGCATACCAATGCTCTCTTCGAAGCCGTTCAATTGAGTTTCCTCAGCATCCCCCATAAAATGCGTTACATTAACGCTGCGTCCAACCACCTCGCAAAATTGAGATGAAATTGCGTTTAGTGCTGCAGCGTATTGTACATGCGTTCTTTGAGAAGTAATGAAAAGCGCGACGCAGTGAAAATGTCTGGAGACATCTGATATGCCACACACAAACAAAGGAAATTCTTTCGTGGTCAACTTAAACGTAGCATCCATGTGCAATACAAATTCTCCGGGATATCTATCCAGTTGCCGTAGCATGTACTTTGTTGAAAAGGCTAGAATAAATGGATCTTCATCGTTTCCATCTCCCAACACTTGATTTAAATTGTTATCCAATTTGTATCCAAACGAAAACGGTGTCAAATCATCAAGTTCAGGGCAATAACGCGATTCCTTGGAGAGAGAAATCACATCGTCAACAAAATCGGTATTCATCAG